GGAGGAGGAGGAGGAGGAAGAGGAGGAAGAGGATGAGGTGGTGGTGGTGGTGGTGGTGGTGATGACAATGACAGCGATGGTGACAGTGACAACAACTTTGAAGGGCCACTTGTAGTGGTCCACACCTATAATCCCAGCATCCTAGCACTTGGGAGGCTGAGACAGGAAGATTGCTATGTCATGAGTTCAAAACCAGCTTGTACTTCATAGTGACTTCAAGGCCAGCCTGAAATACATATCAAGACCCTGTCTCAAAAAAAAAAGTAATAAGGGAAGGGATGCAGCTCAGTGCAAAGGCCCTGGGTTTAATCCTCTGTACCAAAAACAACAACTGATAAAGATCCTGGGAACTCCCTCCTTTCATAACCAGTGACTTACCGTGCATAGTCCTGGGGGGAGATCAGAAACTTCTCTTTCATCTGGGCCTCAGCCTTGTTCTCCCACCAGAATTTGTTGGTCGCTTTCTTGTGCTCTGGGCTAAGGAGGGAGAGGACGCAGAGTATAAAGCAGTACTCAAAGCATTGGATAAGTGATGCCAAATGCCCCCTGGATTCCTAACTCTGGGCAAGGCAGATAAAAGAATAGTACTATGCATCTCTTCATGATCTCACGTCCTTTCTTCCAAAAACCAAAATGAGGTGATGGGCGATGAGCAGCAAGACTTCACAGCCAGGGCTGGCCACTGGCTCAGCAGACTACAGCGCCTGCAAGCAGGTGAAGGGGCCGGGATTCATCCCCAGGCCTGCTGTGCCAGCCCTGCGCCTGGGGCGCACTGAGAGGGCCACTGAGACTGGCAGCTGAGACTGGCAGGTGAGACTGGGCGTAATGGTGCATGCCTGTAACCCCAGCTCTTAGGAGGCTGTAAACAGGAAGATCACTACGAGTCTGATCTAATAGTGAGACCCTGAACACCTTGCTGACCCTCCAAAAAAAAAAAAAAAAAAAAAAAAAAAAAATCGCAGCTAGAACGCCCCAAATGGCAACCGCAAGACCCCTACCCCCAAGGTTGTCAATGTCTGCACTGTGATGCAGTCCATACCCGGGTCAAATCAGAAGCGCCCTTCCCTCCCACCCCGTCCATCCCTCCTACACAGCTCTGCATCTGTGCCGGGCGAGGGTGAGTGAGGGGCGGTCACCTGGCCAGATGCTCCAGGAGCGCGCCGTGCAGCACCGTCAGGTTGCCGTGGCTCAGGTGCTTCCGCACTTCGCAGCCGCAGCACAGGCACCAGCAGCATCGCTCGTGCTCGGGCACGTAACGCTCCACCTGAGCGGCGCGGACGGCCTTGCGGGCGGCCTCCACCTGCGGGACAGAGGCCGGTAGGACGCGGGCGTGGGGGGCAAACCACAGTCCCTCGGGCCCTCCGGACACTGCACTGATCCCGGCCCCTCCAGCCTCGCGTCCATACTTGGGGCAGAAACCGCTCCAGAGCTGCCTTCAGCTGCCGCTGGTGTTTGCGGCTGTAGACGTGTCCGCGACCACAGAAGAAGGTCTGGCGGCACAGAGCACAGCGCTGCGGAGGTGCCATGGGGCCGGGATCTGCGCCGCCCGCCACTTGTAGGTCTTTCCCCATCCGCTGACCCTTGACCCCGGGGGCGGGGCGAACCCAGGGGCTCCTGGCGCTCCCAGTGGCTGATGGGCGCCGCTGCAATAGGTTCTGCGCCTGCGCAGATTGTTCACTGACTCCGCCTACTCCCGACCCGGCCCAGGGCGAGCAGAGCCAGCCTGCATTCAGATGCTCTTCCAGCAGTCGGAGACCTAGCGGGTCAGGGCAGGCGCGCGGGTTAAGTGCACGCCAGGTAGGGCACAGACCGCACACATCTCTGGCCGTTGACAAAGTAACACATCCAGATATTTACAGAGTAAGCACTGTGTGTGCTGAGCTTTGCAGTAATGACCACGCTGAATCCTTGCTGTGTGGTGGGTCATCCATAACACGCCAATGAGAAAAGGCAGGTAAAGAGCTCCTCAGATGGTACGAGAGTTCAGTGGCGGAGTTAACATCCCAGCCTGCATGTACACGGGCAGCAGAGAGGGACTGTGATCTAACATTTAACCTCACGGTGTTTTTTGTCTTTTTGAGACGGTCTCGGTCTCGCTATGCAGTTGAGGCTGGCCTTGAGCTCACTTTGTAGCCCAGGCTGGTCTCGAACTCGCAACAATCCTCTTGCCTCAGTCTCCCCAGTGCTGGGATTACAGGGATGCACCACCACACCCAGCTAACCGCATAGAGCTCTGAGTGCTGCTCCTGCAAAGGAGAAATTTAAGCCTGCAGGATGGTTCCTGAGGGCTAGCAGACACGTTAAATGTGTACAAGTTCTACTCTGGAGGAATGTTTAATTCTTTGCAAGCCATTTCCCCCAGCAGCCTGTTTATCCTGCTTCTCTTAGGACCTAAGGTGACTTGTTCCTTCTCAGGGCTGGATTCCCTCCCTAGAAATCTCTCACAGAACCTACAGCGGGGCCAGGGAGATAGCTCAGTGGAATAAGTGCTTGCCCAAGGTCCTGAGTTCAATCCCTAGTACCACAAAAAAAAAAAAGAAGAAGAAAGAAAGAAAAGAAAAGAAATTAAA